GGTATCCGAAACCAGCGGTATTGGTGGTCGGAAGTTGTCAGGAAATTGTTGCAAACTCGGCCAAAAAAACTGAAAATCTAGGCAGATTTTCAGATTTTTTGGTAGTCGACTTCGTGGGTATATTTTGACCGAATCCCTTGGATTGTGGGAAGATTTTTGGTGGTAATTGAAGAGAACATTGTAGGATTTCCAACGGTATTCAAATCCGACGGTCTTGGTGGTTGGAAGCTGTCGGAAAATCGCCGCAAAACTTGTCCAAAAAATCTGAAAATTCAGTGACCATCTGTGAAAGAAATTTGAACTTCAGTGACCATTTCTGCAAGTTTTAAACTTCAGTAATCGTTTTATAATTTTCAGGTAACTTTAGTGACCGTTTGTAAAATTAACCCATATATTGATCTTTTGTTCCAATTTTTGACTCATATTCTTTAGTTTAATTTGTGTATAAATTGACAACAGGTAATCCAATTATATTCATGTATCCCCCTCCAGGTAAATTAAACTTCTTTCTAATCACGATGCCAAATATTCTCATTCCAAATTCAAATACTTATAAATGCATTAAGTCACTCGATTACCTATTTTGATTGCACAAGTCATGAGCAATTATTCCTAACATTTATTGAACCTTATGTTGATTATCACAATGTGTTGAACCTATTTGAATCTCCGAGAAACAAACAAGTTTAGCCTAGCATGCTAATCATGAAATTACACAAGATATTTGAATATTCGTCACCCAAAAAGTATATTTGTAAAAAGAAGGATTCGAATCAATTTTCCCTTCTTTAATTCCTTCAAACAAGTCGTCAACTGATTTGGATTTTCCCTTGCTTTTTGTTCGAATAAATTCCGTTCCATGAGGAAAAAATTCAAGGTGACGACTTGTTTGAAGGAAAAAAAGTTAACAAATCAAGGGACAATCCAATTAGAATTAGATTTTTTTTTTTCAAGTATCGTTCCATGAGGAAAAAATTCTAATTCAGATATACAAGTTTTTTATCGAATTTGAAGAGTTGTAATTATTCTAAGAATTATTTTAAAATGTATGTAAAATCTTGGTTTGTAAACTTATATGGAATGATTGTATTGGATTTCTGAATCCACCTATTATTATCTATTTCAATTCTTAACTATATAATCCAATTTTATTCATGTACTTAAGATAATCGATAAATTTATTGTATTCAACCTTCTTTTTCAAGATAAGTTAACTTTATTTACGACACGACACGACCCGAACCTATTTCGAGTCCGAATTTATATAAATAGAACGCATTCAATTACACGATTACCTTGGTGATAACACATTCAATAACACGATTATCAACGTTATTGCACATGCAATATATGTTATTTCTAATATCTATTGTCCATGTATTAGTCATGTAGTGTTCTACTTAATTGTGAATCTCTCAGTGCTACAACAAGCAACTAATCATCTAAATGGTGCGTAATCATTTAAATAATGCAACAAGCACTGAAAATTAATTAAAAAAAATGCAAGAATTAATTAAACTATTTGTCTTGAATTAAAATAAATATGCAAAATGGTTCATCTTCATCCAATACAAATAAAGATTTTGCCTAGCCTAATTATATATGAATTATACAAAGAATTGTGGAAGGACATAACTCGGATTATAGAACAATATAAGAATCTTCATGATTTTGATTTTGAATACGCGCCTTGAATCTTTAAATTATTGTATAAATAATTTTGAATTCGTTGCTGGTTGATCTTCTCTCCCAAAAGATGTGAATTTGCATCTTGTTCTTGATGAATTTTATGATATGAATGTGTATTAAGAGGTTAGAGAGAGCTACCCTGAATGTTAGCTCAAGTTCTGCATTTATATGAGCCGAATTTAGGTAAAAAAACACCTCAAAATTGGGTTCGAAAAGAGTATGAATCGTAGAAGGAATTAGGGGTGGGCGCGGGTCGGTTCGGTTCGGTTTTTTTCGGTTCCAAAAATTTTCGGGTATTTAGTAAATGGACCCGTCGGTTCCAAATATAATTTTGGAACCATTCGGTTTCGGTTCGGTTCGGTTCGGTTCTATT